GAGCTGGTGATAGTCCAGCGGCGATGGGACAGCGTGATGAAGAGAAGAAGGGAAGAAGCCGTGACGGAGGAAGAGGCGGTCGTGATTGGGGAAGGGAACTGGCCTGGGACGACCGGGACGAGGAAGGTGGTGGTTGTAGGGTAGTGGTGGTGGAGAAGGACTGCAGTGTGCTGGTGGTGGGACGTGAGCGCAGTGGGCGGGCGTAGACGTGGGCGTGGGCGTGGGCGTGGGCGTGGGCGTGGGACTCTGGACGTGGGACGGGGACGTGGGGAAAGATTCCTTCACGTTTCTCGCAAGCGCAGGGTGCAGGAGCAGGAGGCACTGGAAGTGCAAGTGCGGCAGGTGCAGTGCAGGTGCGTCGCAAGGGCAGGGACTAGTAAAGTTCCAGAAGAGGAGACCCAGCGACGCCTACCAGGGAGACAGCGGGAGCAGTACCGGGCAGGTACAGTCCAGAGTACCTATCCGTACCTACCTTACCTTACTACCTAATCCGGTACGGGTACTGCCTGCCCTGCCTGCCCTGCCTGCCTTCCATTGTTACTAAAAACTGAAGGAGCGATTGCCAGAGAAGCAAGAACAGCCGCCAGAAACAGAAGCAGCGACGTAATGGAGGTGGAGATGCCACCTACCCTGCCATGCATCGCTCTTGCCTTCAGTTGCCGTAGGCTTATTATGTAGGCAAGAGGTACCAGAAGGCTTGCAAAACAGACAGCAGGTACGAGAGCCTGCTAAGGAAACCGCCAACGGGAGGCCCTGCAAGCTTGACAGCCCAAGGGTCGCCTCCCTCCTGTCTCCCTTGCCCTTTCCCTTTTCCTTTTCCCACTCACACACCTTCCAACCTTCCAGCGTACCTACCACGCGCACTGCACCTGCCCCAGCACCACGACAATGACGCTTGGATAGTGGGGCTAGGCCGAGGGGGTAGGTACCGACAACGTACCGGGCTACGGTGCACGGACACAGGGGAAGCCTGTCTCAGGGGTTGCGAGCGCGTCACTGGCAGGGAAAAGGGACCTGCGAGTGACTGAAAGCCAAAGCTTAAACTGCCAGCGGGGAGGGCGACTTGCCCTTGGGCTTCAAACCCCTCCTCTTCCTCAGCTTCGTGGTGGTGGTGGTAATGGCGATGGTGGTGGCGGCCGGTGAGAGATGAAGTTCTCGATTCTGGTACAACCTTTGGCAGCGGCTACTAAACAAATCCTAAGGGCCGTAAAATGTTTCTTCGTCGGCATCATGGAATCCAATCAAGGTAGCGGGGAGAAAGGAGCTTACCTATTCTTGCAAGTATTTTGCCTCTATTGTTTGGTAGTGTCTGTCTCCCTTTCACGTACGTACGTATTACCACATTTCCACGTCCCAAACCCTGGATGCGTTCCCAGCCGGGGGTCCCCAGGACCTGCGAGGGACATGCGACAGACAAACTGCAGCAACACCAACTCCATGCCGCGTACGGAGTACAGCAGACTGGGTGGTGACAAACACATGGTACCGCTGCTGCTGCTGGTGGAGGGCAGGCGATGCACCTTCGAAGCTTGCCAGACGGTGACGCTCGTCGGCCGCCATCATTTGCGTAGCGAGCCAACCTTTACTTTGCTAGCCAGGAAGTCAGTCTACTGCGGTGCGAGGCTCCGGAGACGAGGAGACGATTGCGATGAACTGCGCACAAATGGTGGTGTCCGCCGAGCATTTCATCCAGATTGCGAGGCTCAAGTCGGCCAGGTCACCAGGCTTTCAGCCCAACCTCGTGAGACGTTAGTCTAGGGCTGGCTGATGGCGACAGCAACAGTAAGATGCGACTTGAATCTGCGCACTGCTCCGGTCGCCAGTGTGACGTACGAGCATGAATAAGGTAGCGCAAGCTACGCCACCAGGGCGTGTCCAGAACCGCCGCAACCTTCCCGTCTGCTGCTAGACTGGCCGCTGGACCCCTAGCTAGAGGCAGCTTGAGGGAGCTAATGGCAGGGGAGCCGGAGAAAAACAAATCAAACGGGTGATTAGCCGTCCATTTCTTTGTTCTCTGCGGCTTCTGGACGCGGCTTCCATGCTGGCTTCCATTTCGACTTCGACTTCCATATCGAATTGTTCCAAACAGCTTCGATCGAGCCTTCGGTCTGGATCCAACCGCCTCTCTGTGCCCATGTCAACCTCCGCCACTCCGCCCGGCCGTACGGTATCAAAAGTTCAAAACTCACCTTTGACTTTCCTCCCACAGGTTCATCTGCTTCCCATCCCACGTCCCACATCTCAAATCGCACACTCATGCGATCTGCAGCGGTGGGCGGGCGACGACTGGAGCTTCTAGAAGCCTGCAACACTGGCAGTGGCGCCCATTGCCGAGCGCTGCCGACTCTTGCCACGGCACATGGTAAACTCACATCGTCAGGGTGAGGGCAATGTGAGGACGTGGAAGCAGAGTCGAAGCCAGAATTGGACCGCATACTTTTTCATCTGGTGGCCACCGGTTGGGCTTTGAGACGAAAGGCAAATCAAGTCGTGCGACCCTAGCGATTTGACCCAAGCAACGCTCGCATCATTTGGGCGTGGTCTGTAGACGGCCGAGGGCGGACGAGACAGACTGGAAAGAAGAGGAGCGTGCAGCGGCGAATAACGAAAACGATGGTAACGGCGACAATCTGCACATCTGTGAGCGTTTCGTACCAGAAAAAGAACCCCCCCCTTATCTCCCCTGTGCCTGGGTAGGCATTTGTCTCCCTCATCTCCCCAAGGCGCTTCAGGAACCAGCCATCAACCAGACTCCAGTCTGAGGTCACCTCTCCTCGTCTTTCCCAGGTAAGCCCAGCCCGCAGAGGCCGGGACAAGAAGGGCATGTGTGAGTGGAGCGCCATCTCACCGTGTGTCTCAGACTTGCAGGCTGGGGCCCCTGGCTCATCGGGGCCGAAAGAGCGAGCACGGGGCACGAAACGATCCCGAAAGGCGACGGTCCATTGAAGCGGCCAGTCCACAGCGGATGGAGGAGAGGGTGCACCCGGCTAACCATGTCGCTGCTGGCGATGAAGCTGGGGGATGGTGGCCCAGGAGAGGGGCGAGGCACCGGCTGATGGGAGGGAGGGATGCGTGGAAGGGCCGTGGAAGGGCCATGGAAGCCCTCTAGAAGGCGGAAGGAATTGGAAAGACGGAGGAATAGCTGTGCCGCCCATCGCTGCAGCCCGCTCACCTAAAGCGTTCGACGGGCGAATTGAGTTGACGAAGGGCAACCCATTCCCTACCCCTCAGGTAGGTAGCTTTCGAAACCACATGCAAGGAAGAGTTCGCGGCATCGAGATTTCGGTAGCTGGCCAAAGAGGGAAAGTTGCAAATTGCGTCTTGTTTTGCATTGCAGTCCGGCAATTGCCATGTGGTCTTATGGGAAGAAGGGCCTGCCTTTTTTTCAGATTGCCGGCGAGGACAAGGACAATGAAGGAAGACCCAAGGCCACGCGATCCTTCCCAATCATAAGTTGCCTCCAATAGGTAAGAAGAGAAGGCAGGCACACACACACCCATCCATTACTGCCTTCCCAGGATAAGGTACTCTGGGTATGGCTAGAGAAGAAGAGATACGTAGAGTGAAGAGGAAGGAAGTAAATGACGGTACTAAGGATAGCAGGAAGCATCCATACACCGTTGAACCTTCCACTGGGCGACACGCTGCAATCTGCCTTGCATCCCACGCCTCAATCTGCCCGCGCTGGTGCGGGTCTTGGCGAAACGCTCTTGCCCCGGTCGTTGTCAGGTTCTCTCTTTGTTCTTTCCTCCTGTCAACGTCTGCAGCCGCACCCGCGCCGCTGATGCACCTGCCCACCCGTATCCTCGGGCTGCGTTTTCTTTTCTTTTTGGTCTCGTCTTTTCTTTCTTTGCTTCCTTTTTTTTTCCTTTCAGAAGCGCGTCCCCTACACCCACACACGAAAACCATACCCACACGCCCCGGCTTGAATTGGTCTTCCAACATCACGGCCGGCCCGAAAAGCCAAACGTTGAGGCCCCGAGGGCTTTGACGAGCTTCGTATTCCCCAAGTCCGACTGTTTCGCTTCCGGTCTGCCAATAATCGACCTCGGTTTGCCTTTGGACCCAACCTAAGGTCTTCGACATGATTCATCTCTCATCGCTTGCCCTCACACATCAGCTAATGTAACACCGTAGCCACGCGGCTCTGTGGCCACACTTTCAGAGTGGACGAACTTGAGGCAGCGATCAAGTCGCTGGAATCTGTTCTCAGCCCAATGGTCGGATCACCTGCTGCTCCCAGAGACGCAAACACCACATAGAATCTTTACTTAGACTTCTACGTGGTGAAACACATCTCCCATGCCCTTGGAACGCGACCAGGAACACCTTTTGGGCACCAACTGCAGTAGAATCACGAATGACGGACGCAGCTTCCAACCACACGCGACTGCTCGCATAAACCGACGGGACACTTTGGGCAACATGCACCCTTTTCCTCGTGGCGGCATAACTGACCGTCGGTCACCGGTCGAACACCGCAATCCGATAATTCCACCGCGGACCGGTGCAGCTCTCACACACGCCGCCCAGCTCCCGCAATCTAAACGCCGTCGCGATTTTTTATCCTTTCCACCACGTGTCGACGAGATTCTAACATCCTTCTAGAAGCCGCACAGAACACCTCACAAGACTTCACACTCAACGCTTCGCTCAGGGTCGCACCATGCACTGTCCCTGACCGCTGTTGCTTTCGTTTCCCTATAGGTGCCTATCCCTAACAATAGTGCCGGCCGTCAACCGGACACCTACCAAGTGCACGCTGGCTTTTGAGCCCTCGGGCATGGGACTTGATCGATCATTCTAGCTCCAGTAGAATGAACCCCGCATCTGCCATGGGAGCCGGCAACCAGAGCAAGCTTTCATGAATGGGGCATCCCTGACCTTCACGTGCCGGCTGCGGTGTCGAATCGCAGCAATCCTGACCGCACACGCACGTTGACCTCCATCTCATCGACATATCGGCGGTGCAGTGTTTCAAGATTCGGTTTGCGCGGCCCATGCTCCCTTCCCGTACTCGGTACCCGCTCAATCCGACGAAGTTAGAGCTGAAGCGCATATTATTGAGGACACTTTTTGGCATATCAACATTCGTCTGCAATGTTCTGGCCGGGCTGTCGCGCTGATCAGCCCGGGACCGACCTGCTCCATCGATGTTCCCAGTACGTACCGGCTGACACCTGGCACACGAGCCTTTGAGAAAGACTTCTCGGTGACAAAATTATCGTGGATTCGTCCGCCGCGTCCCATTGTCATCTGTACATCTTCATCTTCGACAGTGTTTTCTGAGACCAGCAAACTCAAGGTCTAGGAAGCGTGCCGGCTTTGCTGCCCGGGCAGCTAGGCCTTCTGCTCGGTCGGAGAGGCTGGCTGGACTGAAGCCCCTGATGAGCTGGCGCTTTTCTATGGTTAGCTTTCGACTGTGAGGTTGTAGCCAGTTTCACCATCAGTGCGATTACGAGCTTGAGAAAAACCACCTTCTCCCACGAAGGTTCACTGGCAACTGGGAAAATTGCGTGACACCCAATTGTTGCACGTTTTGAATTAGAGATTAATGAACTGGCAGCTGCTCGACATCCCCACCCGAGTTTCCGTCAGCTTGGTTTGACGATTATCTTCAATAGCCGCGGCAACGTGCCGCCACGTTTGCACCAACGGACTGCAGGCCCGGGTATGCTTGAACCCCTATGATACTGGCTGGTGATGCACAGCAACGTTATCTTCCGTCATGGTTTGGCCTCTCTTCTCTCTGCAAACCTCACGCGACCGGCTAGGCTGTGGTCCTAAAGGGGCAGCAGTTTCGACACGTCCGTCGCGGTATACGCGCATCCCACGGGCGCGAATCCTTGAGCCCGTTGTCGGTCTCTAGTCAAGGCCCGCCGGAGGGTTAGGTATACCCTGGACCACCTCTGCCAGTGGCTTGCCCGAGGTTGCATTGCCGACGCCGCGATACCATCCAGTCGGATGATTCGTTGTGTCTCGACGCGACGGCTGGGGCCCACAATGACGAGGTCGTCTTCCGGAGCGAATCTCCACGGCGATGGTCCCCGTCGGTAACCAGGGTCGCAGACCGGTGCACCGGCCCATGCTCCACCCGGTGGTCCGATGTGGATACCAGGGACCGGAGTGGTGATCGTCGCCGGGAAAGTGTCCCAGGGCTCCATTTCAGATGCCACAGAGACCTTGTGTGCAGTCAAGACCCTTCCCGGTATTGCAGCAGATGGAGCCGTTGGCGCAGAAGCACGCTCGGCCATCCTTTGGCATTTCCTGCTCATTGAAAATCGCCTTGAGCGAGGCAGTGAGTTCCTCTGAGTCGATCGCGGAAGCTTGCGCTTTGCCGGCTGATGGCTTTGTCGGCACTGGTGTAGCGGCAGCTTCGACCGCAGAGCTTCCACTGCCGTCGACGGCGATGGGATGTTGTTCAGTGTCCACGGGCATGGCCAGTGCAGTGACAGCCAGCATGGCGACAGAGATGGGAGCTGTGACCTTCATGTTGATTGTTGTGGTTTGTTGTTATCGGGAGAGGGTATGTTGCGGAGCGTGTGCTGATGTCGGATACAGAGGAACAGGTTGTGATTTAAGTCTGAGATTGTTGCGATGGATCGTGATGATAGCAGTTGCGACAGGCCGAAGTGTTATAGACTTGCAAGCGAACGGTCGTCCGGACGAAGAGCCGGACTTGGTCGAGTTCTTGAACGAATTTGACTTGCATGCAGCGAAGAATGGCCGAGGACCTAACGAGCGCCGTTGGGGGTTGGCGGGAATCACCAGGGGCCACCTAAACAGCCACAAACCGAAGCGTGAAACAAGTGCTGCACACAAAGACGGGAAGGAAAAAGAAAGGTCGGTTGGTGCAGGCGACTTTTCTACTTCTGGTTCTTGGGTCGTCGAAGGAGGATCTTATGTTCAATTAATATGCACTCGTACGGCTATGGATAGACAGCACGCGAGCAACCAACGCGCCCCCTCTCCCGACGATCCTGGCAAATTGCCATCCACAACACGGGGTCCGAATCAGGAATCAAGGAAGAAAGGGATTCTGCAGGACTGGTCTTACTGATGATGTTACGTCGCATCCGGCGCGAAAAATAAGAAAAGCAGCAGGCGACGCAGAGCAGAAACATCCGAAGCCTGAGAAAACGAGACGACAGGTGTTGGGGGTGGGAAGGGGGCCCGGCTCGGTCGTTCGTTTGATGCTGCGACCCGTGCGGGGCGGAGGCGCGATAATGGGGCCGTTAAACCACCCCCAAGGGAAGGTAGCTCGGGCGCTACCTAAGCTTACACTTTGGAGATTCATGCAGGTTCACTGTCCGATGGCCCTTTCGTCGCAGCGCTGTCGGCGCTATTGGAAGATCATTGAGCGGGCATTACAGAGAGAGGCACAGAGGGCGGAGTTGGGGGTTGGGGGGGACAGCCCCGATGCAGAACAGGGCCTTGTTGGTGCTGTGCAGATCAGCCCCGGCAAGGTCCAAGGCACAATTCCAATGGGTTCGAGTCAGGTCTGCGGAGAGAGTGAAGTCATTGTGGTTTCCCCCGCGGACAAAAAGTGCGATGGGAATTGATGCAGAGGAAGTTGGACGTCAGACCTAGCGAAGTGTGGTTCCAAGTCTCAAACTCGAAAGATTTGCGTTGGAGGCTGAAGAAAGAATGTTAAAGCCCACTTCCCGCCCTGGAACCGTCGTGGACCGAGGGCGATCATGTGTCGCAACAGCGGCACTCCCAAACAGAACGGCTTCACAACCGGCGGGCGGAGTTGGCGTGGTGTTGGTGTTGGTGCTGGTGCTGGTGCTGGCTGGGTTACAGTCGAACTGGGCGCCGTGACGCTGATTTTAGCTCGTGTGGAGTGCAGCAGCGCCCTTTGCCGTTTGTGGGTTGACGCGGGAATGACGTTGAAGATCACGAAGATTGGGCCTGGGAATTATTGGCTTAGTCTTTTGCAACGCCAGACGGCCGAAGTTGCTGAGTCGACTACGGGATGGGGTTTGTTAGTGGACGGTTCCTGGTGTTCGGAGGGTGGTCTCCCGCCGTGATAGGGCCGAGTTTAAAATTTGCAATTGCAGTGGGTGGTATTATTGGTTATTCATGGCTGCTGGCAGGTTTGCGACTCGTCCGATGTTCTTTTTTCTTTCGTTGCCAGTTACTTTTTTGCTTGGTGGTTCGTGATTACTGACGAGCCGGCCGGCGTAATTTGCGACCATTACACCGGACCACCGAGATTACTGCGCGACGGGAATCTGCAGAAAAAATAGGATCGGTCGGCACGCCTTGGGACGGTTGAGGTGAGGCAGGATCAATTCCAAGAAGCCGTTGGAGCCGTCCGCTCTCGTCCGGAGTGAACCTGCCTCGGGGCGCTCGATTGGGGTAGCAGGGCGCTTTTGCGACACTGGTGGCTGTTCTTTACACGGCATGTCAAGGGTGGCTTTCATTTTGCTTAGGACTGCTAGGCTTTCGGAGGTTAGGACGGGGTGACAGGTGTTCTAGGCGTGGGTTAGGCTCAGAAGGTGGCGGTGCTATGGTTCAGGTGGTTCTTGGAGATTTGAAGGGGGGGAGGAGAAAGGATTTTTGTGGTGATTTGTGTTCGCGATGGGATGGTTTGGAATTGTGAGTTCTTCTGTGATGGTGGCTGATGAGTGTGACGATGAGCATGGGGATTCGGATGCTCAGTCAGCTGTGCTGCTGTGATGTGGTTCCGTCATAAGTGGTAGCTTTCCGTGGGAAGGATACGGAGGCGCGTGGAATTATCACGGAAGGCTGATGCCGTTGGGTTATGTAAGGCATTTAGTCCTTCATCAGCCTCATTTTTTCTGAGGTTTCTATTTTCGGATCGAGAGCGACGAGATGCTTTTCGTAGTCCAGACTTCACGATGCTCGCCCTGACGCCCGGGAAGCTGCCAGCTGTCATTGCTGAGTCACCTAGCGCGCCAGCTGCCTCTTCTGAGTCACCCGGCCTGCCAGCTGGCCTACAAACTCCAAAATCCGCTTGCGACCGGTCGGAGTTAATGCGAGGAAACCCGCTGCACCGCGCAGAAAGTACGGGAAATTCCACCACCTTCTCTCCGAACCACTCACATGACCAGAAAAAAGCTTTAGCTAAGCAGAATCACCGCCCCGGGAAGGCACCCGAGCTTTTCCATCCGCCTTCCACGCCGCAGCATAGAAACGTCATTCGTCATTGCCTCTGACGGCGACACATCTCCATCGCCAAACCTCTTTTTAAACATCCTCACCCCTCGAGGACCTTCTCTTTTGTATCTACCCGCTACACCCCACATACTCGCACACGTCCAGCAAAGATGTCCTTCAGCATGGCAATCCGCCAAGCGCCCTCGCGCCTGGCGCAGCGCATCCCCCAGCTCACCCGAGCCATCCACACAACCCCCAAGACGCCCCTCACCAGGAGGACAGCGACGAGCGCGACGACCTCGACCTTCTTCACCGCCCGCAATGCCTTCCGCAACTCCGCCCGCGGCTACATGCAGCAGGCGACCCCCGTCCAGGGCGAGAAGGCCTCGCCGCTGCGCAAGATGCTCGTCGGCGGCGCCATCTTCGGCGGCACCCTGGTGGCCATCAACGCCGTCTTCAACCGCGAGACGAGGGACGACGGCGGCATGCCCGTCTACGAGCGCGAGTACCTCAACGACACCTTCCTGCACACCGGTCTGGGCGTCGGCATCATCGCGCTGTCCGCGAGGCAGATGATCCAGAGCGGGTTCGTCTACCGCCTCATGGTCACGAACCCGTGGGTTGTCGGTCTCGGTGGTTTGGCGCTGAGTTTCGGTACCATGTACGGCACCCGTGCCATCTCTCCTGACAAGTAAGTCGCACCCTCGTCGAGATCCAGCAGAGCAGCAACTGACGATAAGCAGCTACATCCCCAAGTACGCCATGTGGACGGCCTTCAACGCAACCCAGGCCGCCATGATCGCCCCGCTCCTGACGATGGTCCCCGGTGCCCTCCTCGCCCGCGCCGGCCTCTACACCGTCGCCATGATGGGATCCCTCTCCATCGTCGGCGCCACCGCTAAGCAGGACAAGTACCTCTACATCGGCGGACCTCTCCTGGCCGGCCTCGGCGTCGTCATCGCCTCCAGCTTCGCGCCCATGATTCTGCCCGCCACCGCCATCCGCACGCTCGCCATCACCGAGAGCATTTCGCTCTACGGCGGTCTTGCCGTCTTCGGCGGCTTCACCCTGTATGACGTCCAGAAGATCCTGCACCACGCCCGCCTGGCTGAGCGCGGCGTCATTCGCAAGGACGCCGTTAACGAGAGCATTGCGCTCGAACTTGACTTCATCAACATCTTTGTGAGGATGGTGCAGATTCTGATGATGCAGAACAACCGCAGGAAGTAGATGATGTCGATGGTTGGAGGAGTGTAAGATGGTGAACCTACCTACACAGGGGACGGAAGTGGTTGTTTAAAAATATCCCTCAGCAGAAAAGGCCTGTTATTCTCTTCTCTGCTGCAAAAGTCATAGGACAGAGGCGACGAAACCCCTCTCATGATGAACAGCTCCGAAGACTCCTTTGGGCGAGGAGCTGGCGTTTGTACAATTACCAATCAATAAAAATTTGATAACGTGATAATGGAGTGTACACGTTGGCGTTTCACGATGGTGATGAATGGCCGTAGCATTCAGCAGATGACTCCGCAAGGCGACTTTGGCAACCCTCATATGACCAAGGGCCCAGGGCATATCGAGACAGAACGCTCATCTAAATCATTGGGCAATGATTTTTGTGTCACTATATAGGAAGACTTTGTGATGTTCAGAGGGTTTGCCTGTCAGCAGGAACGTATGGGGTTTCTGTACTGTTTTCCTTTAATTGGTAGAGGGCACAGGTCAAAGTGCCTATATGAGTTGGGTGGTTCAGTTGGTGCTTTAGATTTTCAAAGGAGCGGCAAGGGTTAGCCACCAACCACCAACGGAGGCTAGGACTACGAAATGATGGGTAAGTAAAACCTTTAGAGTTGGTGTCAAAAATTCCGTGATAACTACTGTCTGGCTGCTGTGAGTAATATCCCATGCCTTCGTGTTTGAACCCGAGAAGCCACTTTTAGCGTGCTTTTACCGGCGAGTGGAGCAGGTTTCCTTGTTAAGTAAGCAGATCAACTTGATAGAAGAGCTATGTCGCTGATGTGCTAGCTGCCAATTCAACCTCATAGGCCGTTGCCGGCTGCAGCCAAGTCGCGCTAAGAGTGGCTTCTCGGGGTCAAAGGGATACGGTGCGAGTGGGATGCAGTACTTCAGGTCGTCAAGAACTTGTAATTTCTTTTCTAAATTCAGTCTGGAACAAAACTCGCTATTCGCCAGAAAATAAATGGAAAAAACGTCGATCGATCTACGTATAAGCTAGTAAGTACAGCCCCGCTCGCCCTGTGCTGCAGTCCAGTCGCATTGCACGGGATACCGTACCCGGTCAGGCTGACCGGCAAAGACCTGATTTCTTGGCTTGATACCGCAGTATGCCTTGGGATTCTAAAAGCCGTGAGGTGCGAGTTACCTTATTAGCTGATGGTAATGTTATCTGACATGCATGCTACCTATTCCTCCACTTGCCTACCCTACCCCTTGTCTTCCACGATATCCCTCTCTTAAAGTCCTACCTCTTGCTCTGATCCCACAGACTTTCCAGAACAACGCAACAGAGTGTTTTCGAACCGCCTGTCCAAAGAAATTGACGCCCAGCTTCAAGCGATGGAAGAACATGAAACAGAACCGGGCGTACCCTGTCTTGTCTGCTATGACCTCCGACTTCCAAAATACCCCTACAACGAGCCAGATGGATTTGAGCGGCAAGGAGAGCTCGCTCGAGAGCTAAGCGGCTGCGATCCTTTTCACCGACTCTGGGGTCTTTTTGTGGAAGCAAAGTCGCTGGATGCTACTACCGCAGCCGGATGCCTATCATGCGTACTCCTCAAAGATGTTTGGAGACGGCTTTGCCATACAGAAGAGCTGTGCTTAGGAAAAGGTGACATGGAAGGTAGACATGGGTTTTTTCTGCGTTCCGAGGGCATTGGGACAGAGCCCTCAAGATCACACGTTCTGTGTCTCGCTCTAAAGTATCACAATTATATAATTCACACCACAGAAAGTACAGTCGCGCTGTACAGCCACGCAGGGGCTCAAAACAGGCTCAGAACTAACGACAAGACAAACTCTAGGAGAATCATGCCCTTTGGACGCAATACCCTCTCTACGTTGCAGTGGCTTCTTACCAACGTGGGATCAAGTGCGGCTGTTTGTGAAAGATGCATTCGATCAGCGGCTGTCCTACATGCTGGAAGAACATGAAGAACTACCGGTATTGCCTGCCCGCCTTGTAGTGATACACGACGGTCAACCTCAGGGCGACCTAGGGCCGTGGGAAACACTGGATGTTCGTCTCGTTGAGACATCATCAATTGCACAGACCTTTGAGGATGATGTACGCTACGTCGCCTTGAGTCACTGCTGGGGCTCACCAGATGTGGCTGCCCGAATACTGCAGACTACCACGGAAACTATACGCGCTTTTTCCCAGTCGATTCCGTGGGGAGGCCTGACAAAGACATTCAAAAATGCAATGCTCGTCACTAAACAACTCGGTGTTCGCTACATCTGGATTGATAGTCTGTGTATCGTCCAAGATGATGCGCAGGACTGGGCTGTTGAGGCTTCCCGAATGGCATCAGTATACGCAAATGCTCATCTGACCATTTCCGCCACGGGAGCTGCCGATGGGCATCGGGGGCTTGTCATCAAAACTGGCAGTGAACCTATACTTCGGCGCGGAGTTCATGAGATCAAGCTCCCTGGCTTGGAATATCCCATCTACGTTCGCTCCAATGAATTCCACGAAAGTGCGATTTCGGGAACTCCCCTCAAACTACCCGAGACGCCTCTGATGGACCGGGGCTGGGCCTTTCAGGAAAGAATCTTGTCTCCATTCGTACTACATTTCACGGAGAGTGAGTTGATTTTCGAAGATAAAAGAGGTGGAAGCTCCTGTGAATGCAAAGAGCTCGACCACAACACCGCGGGTACTCCTGGCCGCGATTGGTTTTCCGGGACGGTAGATTTATTCTTGGGCCATTGGTCATGGTACGATATCGTGGAGATATATGCGTCTCGCTTGTTGACCTCCGAGGCTGACCGGCTCCCTGCATTGTCAGGCGTCGCTACTACTTTTCAGCCACAGTTGCCTGCGCTCGGGTCTTATCTCGCCGGGCTTTGGGAAGCGGATATCTTAAGAGGGCTTCGTTGGTACGTACGTGGAACGGTTCAGCCCAGACTGCAGCCGACGCTAGCTCGAGGGACATTGCTATCGGCACCTCCGACGTGGTCCTGGGCCTCTGTCGGGAGGAGCGATATATTATGGCCTAAGTTCGACGACAGTTGTTATTTCTTGGTCGAGATCATAAGCGCGACTTGCTTCCCACTTACCTCGGATGATAAGGGCATGGTTTCTGGGGGTCGCATTACCTTGCGTGGACGACTGTGCCTGGCCACACTAGATCTGAGTCCCCACAGCTCAATAACCAATTCGGAGGGATGCTTCATGTCGCTGGCTGACGAAAGCCTGGCCAACAATGAGCGTCACATCTTTTGGCCAGATGTTAGGCTTTGCTCCGACGGAGAGGCCCTCCCTGCAGCTTACTTTCTGCCACTATCTCTACGTGAATATCGCGACCCGTGGTGGACTTTGTTTGGTCTCGTTCTCTGCCGCGAAATCAAAGAAACCGCGGAGACCAACCGGGTCGAGCATTCATCGAAGGATACGGCTACCTTTTCGAGAGTAGGCTGTGCAATTACTACGTTCAAAAACGAGACACCACCTTCTATGGATAAGCGAGAGGCTGCGGCCTGGTTTTCCGAATGGCGCGACCAATTTTGGACAAGAAGAGGTCCTTGCAATTGTCTGAGGATCAGTTTACGCAGCATTTCTCGCACAGCAATGTAAACTCGAAAGTTCTCCATAGTTTAAGCAAAGCTCATTGCTAAAAAGTCATTGTCAATAAAGCGGTTGAACGCTGTCACATCCCACCTAATCCCGCTTCCGCGGACCTCAGCCATCATATTCCATCCATCCCGTCGTCCCCATCTTGATATCATGATCCATATGTTAAAAGAAAGACCCATTCACAATCCCATCATTCCTGTCACTCTCTATCATTACAACCTGCTCTTCGCCTCATCATTCGCTAGTCACCCCTGCAGCTCAGGGAACGTCCTCAAAAAGTGACTCGGGCACTCGTACCCGCTCGGGTTGTTGTGCAAATACAGCTGGTGGTACTGCTCCGCATCCCACCACTGCCCCGCGGGAATCACCTCCGTCACGATCTTGCCCTTGTACCACTGCTCGTTCGCCAGCTTCGTCACCTCCTCGGCCGTCTTGCGCTGCTCGTCGTCGTGGTAGAAGATAGCGCTGCGGTACTGCGGGCCGGTGTCGGGGCCCTGGCGGTTCGCGGTGGTGGGGTCGTGCATGCGGTAGAAGAACTCGAGGAGGGCGCGGTAGGAGACCTGCGCGGGGTCGTAGACGACCTGCAGGGCTTCCGCGTGGCCGGTGTCGCCGCCGCAGACGGCGCGATAGGTCGGGTTGGAGAGGTCGCCGCCGATGTAGCCGACGCGGGCGTCGATGAGGCCCTTTTGGGCGAATTGCTTGCGGTAGAGGTGCTCGACGCCCCAGAAGCAGCCGGCGGCGATGGTGGCCTTTTGCGCGCCCGGAGGGAGGGCGGCGCCGGTGGAGGAGTTGGCGGCGAGGGACATTGTGGTGGTTGTGAAGGGGCGAGTGAAGCGGGTGAGGAAGGAGAAGGGCATTATGTACGAGAGCAAGATTGCGAGGAGGAGAGTGAGGGCGAGGGTGCGCAGAGTGGTGGTGAGGGGCGGCGTTGGAGCTGCTGGAGCTGCGCGGTGGGGTTTCGGGGTCTGGGATCCAGGTCGTGATTTTTGGGCGGTATGGCGACGGGGGTGTTTGATGCGAGGAGTTGTGTTATGGTTGTTTCACGGGAGATTGACGCGATTCTTTGGTTAGGAGAGACGCAAATGAGAGTGATCGGAGAATAGGAATTGGCTCTGAAGTGAGGTTATATACAAGAGACGCTGCGTCATGCTCCCGATTCCAAAGCACCGGAACCTCGTGTCACCGCCCGCCCCTCCAACTGAGTCGCCCCCTCTGGAGCATCCGGCAGAGACAGAAGCGACAGCAGGAAAAAAAAAGTCGTTGAAGTCACCATCTGGGTTTCTCATTCGCCGGGCGTCCCCTGTGGCGGAGACCTGGAGTGCATGACAAATCGGGGCCGGGATTCGGAGATCCTTCTGGGTGGAGGGGTAATCTGTATTGATAGCGTAATCTGCATGGAGCTATCCACGTGACGTACCCCCTCAGCAAGCTCAGAGCTTATCGATAAGAGCTGCAGGAGCTGTTTGTTGGTGGCTGAAGACGCGCCGCCGCAGGGCTGTGTTGGTTCATGCCAGGAGAAAAGTTTGGAATCAATCTCATTTGATTTTTCTCACGCGTCTTGAATGATTAATGATTAAGTCTGCATGATCCGTAATCATGTCTGATGCACCTGCTCCTACGAGACGCTTTGGAACGACGACCGGCAGTAAGCGCAAGGCCGAGAGGCTGCCATCATGCAACCACTGTGGTGCCACGTTGGATGAGCGGGAGCAAGAGTTTGGCGAGTGCGAGAGGCACACAGGTAACTGAGTTGATTCCGAAGATTTGTTCTTGACAACTGATCCATCACTGAAGGTCAATTGGCCCTAGGATTCCCCTCTGTAACGGGCTAGAGCCCGGCCGAGATCTCCGGCTTTGCCGGAGCAGCTACCGAGATCCGGCTCCGCCGGATCCACTATTCTGCTGTAGCACACCGCCTAGCCCCGGTCTGCATCACTGCTGCTAGGCGCCTATCCCTGTAAAGTCCTTTCCTCCTTCTTCAGCTTAGAATAGTCAATCGACGGCACCTCTACGTTGAACAAGCCTAGGGGCCAGCCCCTTACACCCTCGAACCTCGACTTACCCGAGGACATACCCCAGGACGACAAGAAACTACGCTTCCAATGCTGCGGCAGGCTTTCCAGCGAACCCGGGTGCGAGAAGGGGCCTCACCAGAAGCAGAAGAAGAAGAGGTCCGAGGATGAGGAAGAGCACAAGAAGAGACTCGTTCTTGAAACAGAGTATCACTGGGAACGCAACGCATCCGGAAAGCGAGTGAAAGTCCGGCGCGAACAGAAGGAGTCCATGGAGGCAAAGGCCCTGTTTGAGGCTGAGGAGAAGGCTAGGAGGGAAAGAGAGTATGAAGAGGTGTTCTTAAAGCAGCCTCCGACGGACTACGACGCGGAGGGGCAATGGAGGCGTCTTGCGTCTGTGAAGTGGGAAAAGGTTGAGGATGAAGAGGAGCAAGAGCCGGAGTGGAAGCGTATTGTGAGCTTGTGGAAGGAGAGGAAAGCCGCTGGAGGAACGACTTCCGGTCAGATCGTGGCCACGCCCTAGCAGCTGCTCGTCATCGGCGTGGTGAAGCTTTATGATGCATTCATCACTGTTGTTCTTTTTTGAATTATTAACTTTCGTGATGAAGCCTGAAAGTCAGGCGTATTCTGTGCGTGAATTTGTGGTAGTCATGGTGAAGCGGTTCTCTAATTTGTGCTACGATATTTGCTAACATCTGACAACATGCACCCCAGCGAACATAGCAGCCCGCCTCAAGCAGCTTTCGTGTTGTCTTCTCGAGGATGCACGAGGAATCTTGCTGCGCTGATTCATCTTGCAAAAGCACCAATCCGCTGTTGGTTTTTCGGTGACGACTTAGGTGCAGCAAGACGCCTTGGCGCTTTTACGCAGTATCTCAATCAGGCAACCGCACCCACATTTGACGCCGTATCAAGCTATTGCCCTCGAAATCCATAGAGCCCCTGTTAACAAGGCTTTGTTTAGTCAGTCGTGGGGAAGTAGTCCTGTTAGTAATGATGTGACCTATCCTGACCCCGGATTCCGACCTCAACAAGTTGATATGGTAACGATACAATCTCGTCAGATGTCAGCAACCATACTATGCCAAAAGCAGGCCGAGCCAAGGTCCGAAACTTTTGTTTTCTGGCACAGGGTTTGAGGCGCGCTCACACCTGCCCATTAAGGACGAGGCCCGCTTACAGGAGTTTTTGAGTCACACTCCCTCATTTCAAAATCCACCGGTGGAGCCAACTGTTGGCTCTGCCTATTTACGGGACGTATACTTGGCAACGCGCAGCTGAAAGTTATCACTGCGCCTAATGAAAATAAACCAGGCTGTAGCTGCACGCACGTTTTGGCGCTGTGTTTCTGCCAGTCTGCCTCACATGGAGTCCTTGGCAAATGTGGCATGCCTCGTAGTGACCTTATCAAGAAAGCAGAACCCCGGCAGACTGCAACGCAACTGGAGCTGGACAAGGGCTGGAAAGCACTTGACAGGGAAAGTTTAATAGTATCCAGGGGTATGACCAATCATGTTCCCTGTCTCAGCGGATTCTGTAGGCAAAGAGCGCTTGAGTAAACCAGTCTGGCCCCGCGCTCATGCATGTTCTCCTGTTGGTCGCGCTCTCCGTCTGATGCTTATATTGCCGCACTTTTACCACCTTCGCGATGGCGTGGAGATGTCTCTCGATCATCATACAATTAGAGTCTTGCACTTGCACTTTCCGCAAAAGCCGTGGGCGTAGTAACATCGTACATCCATGGACAGCAAGATGGCCCTCATCCCCAGCCGTCATCCCGCGAGACCGCTGTTGACGATAATCTCTCACCATCTCAATCTGACAGCCTCCTGTCTGAGGGGGGTCTAGCCTGGCGGAAGAATGCAAGCGAGATTGAAGCACACCAAGTCGACGGGTCAGCTAAGGAGCTCCTCACAACAGCCTCAACAACAACGGCGAGCTCTGGTTCATTACTTCGATGGTGGTATTTCGAGATACTTAGCTGCGGGTTCGCAGCAATTTGTCTTATTGCACAGGTCGCCGTCCTCTATCACTACGACAGGAAGCCCCAGGACAGCTGGACCGCTCAAGGTTTGACGCTCAACGGTGTCATCGCCATACTGGCAACTTTTTGTCGTTCCGCTCTCATGGTTTCCATAGCAGCCTGCCTTGCCCAGTCTAAATGGAATTCTATGTCTGGACGCAAGCGAGATTATTGTCTGGAAGACATCGCCGCTTTCGAAGCGGCATCCAGAGGCATGGGTGGCAGTCTGCAGGTTCTAGCAAGGTTCAAGGGCACGTACGTACCAAACAGGCCCCTTTCTTGCTGATTTTGTATTCCACCTGACATCATGAGCGCCTTCATAGACACATTGCCTGCCTGGGAGGGGTCCTTAACATTGCCACCCTAGGCATTGGCATCTCTGCTCAGCAGTTGATAACATTGCGAATTGACAATGTCCCGGATCTAGATGCCTCTGGGCTTCCAGCACCCGGGCCCGTGTTTCCCCGTACGGCGACAGCGTATGGAAGTGGAAACTCAAGAGAATGTAAAGAATCATCCCTATTAATCGCGGTGTCCACGATACACGGTTGCTAACCGATACCTAGTGCCATTGTCGACTGATCTTGCCTTGAGCGTGGGATTCCTATCCACACATGTCAATTTTCCGGAAGTCATCTGTCCAACGGGGAACTGTACGTGGCCAATCATCCCTACCATTGGTATCTGTGGCGCTTGTGACAACGCCACGAGCCATATCAAAGTTCTAGACCGAGACCCAAGCTCATGCGGGGTCGTTCTATCCGAGGGGGCCAAATTTGGGTTTCGACCCTGCGATGATATCGATATCGATGACATCGAGGACAAGCTGGAGTATCAATACTTTTCAATGCGGACTTTGAAGTTCGCTCAGGACACGGACATGGTCCCATTTCCCGGAGGTCCCAGAGAAGAGCGCTTAATCTTCGGCGAGTTTGCGGTCATTGGGACTATCCTCAACGCGTCAGTTCGGTCTCATAATCTCCTCCCAGAAGACCCTCAGGCATACCACTGCGGTCTCTGGTACTGCGTTGAGGCTCATCAAGTGCGTGTAGACTCAGGCATCGTAAGGGAGGAAGTTGTCGGAGCATGGAGTGAAGCACGTTTGGCCTCTGGCTTCGACCCAGGAACCTTTCAGAAGCTGCCAGACTCATTCTTCGCAGACCCAGACGAGGAATTCACAGTAATTGAGCCCTTCACCCTCTGGGACCTCGATGGTAATGTGACCATGACCTGGTCTAAGAAAAACAACACGTTTGCTGATGGGCGAATGGCGCGCGGACAGGCTCTGCATGAAGCCTTTGGCGATATGGACTCGTTCATTGCAAAGGTCGCTCGAAGTCTGTCCAACAACGTCCGTGCGAATTCCACCTCAACGATGCGCGGCGTCTGGTACCGAGGAACCTCATACACGAACCAAATCAGCATCATCGTGCGATGGCCCTGGATGACGTTCCAGGTGGTCATGGTGCTGCTCTCCGTCTTTTATCTTGTGGCCGAGATGATCAGGACGGCAAGAAAGCCCGACATACGGCCTTGGAAAGACGATGCGCTGGTACCGCTTTGGATCGAGTTGGACAAGGACATGAGAGAACAGGCTGCCCAGGGACTCGGTGAGCCCGATGGCATCAGACGGCGTATTGGCAAAGATTCAGTGCAGCTTTTGAATGGAGGCAAGAGAATGCGGATTTCGGCTGCTTTAGGATGAGATTTCTAGTGGGTGTAACTATGCATGTAGGGGTTAGGTCGTTATTGGTCTTACTATGGCATTTAGGTGAAAGGCTGCTTTATGTTGTGAAAGGCCTTGAGATATGTATTTATTAAGCTGTGCTTACTTCCAGGTTCTGCTGCTCGGTCGTCTGGAGATGCCAGCCGTGAGGAGCCACAGTTTTTGGATCGGGGCTATAAGCCGCCTCATTTCGGGCCTATCCCAAGCCATAGAAGTACATAAAGGTCCGCGGAACCGAATCTCTTTCAAGAATAAAGATAGCTGCTACCAAAACCTCTCACAATGTATTAACGAGTCACTTCACTCTGTATTGCCTCATGTTGACATTGGAATTATCGTCATTGACTGAGCAGAGACTAAAGAAGTTCTCAATGAGCACCGTCTAGGTAGACATCAATCTATATTGAATACATCCAACAACCAACCCAACTTTATCCCAATCCATCGACTCTTCAGACACAATCAGCAATACATTCAACCTACGAAGCCCTCAATTGATTAACAACAGAGGCGAGCTCAATGACTAGCCACCCGAGCCTTGATGTTCAGGTTTTGCCTGACCCACAAAGCGTACTGCGGCAGGTTGTCGAAATCCTTCCCGATCCAGTCTAAGTTGGGATTCTCCAGTTCCATGTCGAACGTCCAGAGCATCTTAGCCAGCGTCACACGCACTTCCATCCAGGCGATACTAAATTGTAGAAGAAGGCATTAGTCTCACTTACTATGCACGGGTAGCTCGAGGGGCTGTGGAACTTACGGCTTTCCTCCACATCCGCGGGCACCGAGCGAAAAGGGCTGGCTGGCTTCCAAGATGTCCCCGCCCTTGCCCAACCATCGATCCGGGTTAAACACCATCGGATCCTTAAAGTTATCGGGATGGAGCCCCGCGACCATGGGCGCAATGGTAACCGGGGTGCCTCCGGGAAGGAAATAACCATCGACCGTGTCGCCGCCCTTGGGCACCAGACGCGGCAGGATAGGCGGCGCTCCAGTCGGGAGACGCAGACCCTCAAGGCACACGCGATGGAGGAGCTCCAGCTTCTCGGCGGACGCATTCGTAATCTCAGCACTGGTACGGAAAGCAGCACGCACCTCGGCCGTGACGCGGGCCAGAAGCTCCCTGTCCTTCAGCAGATAGTAAGTCGTGGACGTCATAACTGCCGCCGTCGTCTCGGTGCCCGCGCCGATGAAGTCCCACGATTGCGCGGCGAGCTGGATCTCCGAGATGTCCATCTTGGACTCAGCGCGCTGCTGCAGCACCTTGGTCAGGAAGTCCTTGCGAGTGGTGGTGTCCTGCTCCGCGACGCGCTTCTTCATGACATCAAGAGCGAAATCTCCGCCCTTGCGCGCGATGCCTTCAAGCTTCTCGACCTGGCTGCGGAAGAGGATGCGGCCGATGGGTCCCAAAGGCGGGAAGCGCTTGACAGCCTCCATGAAGCTGGTGAAACCCAAAGACTCGTTGAGTTCGCGGATGAATATGTGGGGCTCCTCCAAACCGATGGCGCCAAAGTCCTGCCCAAAGGCCAGGTCGCCGATGATGTCGAAAGTCATGGAGCTGTAGCCGAAGGTCAGGTCCACGGTACCGCCGTCAGCCGTCTTGGAGCGGACGTAATCGACGAAGCGGTCGATGTAGTCGATGATCATGGGCTCCATCTCGTTCAGGAAACCGCGTGAGAAGGCGCCGCCGTACAGGCGGCTCATTGCTGCGTGCTTCACGGGGTCGCGCTCGGTGATGATGGAGCGGATATCTTGGGCGGCGTAGATGCTCAGACCATCATACCAGGTGCCCTTGGTGAAGGGTTGGTGGCCGGAGCGAGGGCCGTAGATGTCCTTCCACGCCTTGGCTGAACTGAAGCTGAGTTCGTTTGGTCCGTAACGGACGACATGGCCTGGATATCAACGATCAGTCATCAGTGCTGGCGGTGGTTGTGCTATTGTGATGATCAGGCACTCACCGTATTTGCTATGGAGTCTGAGTAGCTCATAGGATTGCTTTCCTTTGAACACTGACCACAGATGGGGGATCTACTAATGTCAGTGATGTAGCCAAACAAAGCTCTGAAGGATGCTGCTTACGATGCTGAGCTTGTTTGCCACAGGGCCAGGGAACTTGCGCAAGGGATGGAAGTATAAGTTGTAGACCACCTTCAAGACAACATAGAGCACTACGGCTCCGAGGGGAAGTAAGAAATATCTCGGGACCGGTGCCTGGTCGATGATGTCGATGATGTCCTTGATGTCCATCGTGACGCTTGTTGTGTTCGAGCGGTACCTTTTGTTTGCTTCCAGTCTTGACGAAGGAGGACGGACGTCATTTTATGATTGCGGTTGACGAAGCACTAGCTGAATCGTGTTTAGTATGTTTATCGTAATGTCTACCCTCTTACTGGATGCTACGAAACTTCCTCAACATTACCGCGGTTCTTGAAACTGCCTTACACCCGAAGTCCCTTACCGCCGGACTATTCCTATGTGGGCTGTTATTTTGACTTTTCCTCAGCGTTGTATCACAATATCATATGTCACTTGGCAACATACGTTGGGCAAGGCACCACATACCCAGGCAGCAACACCGATAGCTGCTGAATTGAGGCAAATCGCCGGTCTAGAATCCTTCCAAGACATTTGCACGTATTCACCGGCTTCGTCTGCTGAACTCCCCACCCCGTCTGGCCGTGCTTGCCGTTACATTTGATGCAGGTCTGACAAGAGCCTTCATCAGATTTGACTCGTACTACCCCCACAGGAAACACTTGCCATATTCACTTGATACGACAAGAAAACTCGGCACAAAATCATAGGGACTTTGGACCCTGAAGGGTAAGTCATGAGTCTAGGCCGGGCTGCGCATATCAAAGCAAGACTTGAAACTATCGCTTAGCCGAGAATGGGATAGTAGGCGTACAATAACCTTGTTGGCTTCGCACCCGGCCGCCTCCGCTGCAGAAAGCTTGTCTGGCGCCAGAAGAGATAAGTCGTTCTCGTAAAAACGCCGATTTACGGTGGGCGCAGCAATAAGTGGACCGACGACTTCGAACCCAAGACAGAGTACATGTAAGCGCGACTTAGCACTGATCGGCACAGAGAACCGCGTGACCGGAGCGGAGAGGTGAACATCGAGTAACAAGATAGGCAAAAGACGGAATTTGCTGATAACTTCCGCGCCGCCGCGGATATTCGAGTCTCGACAATGACGACTTGGGGGGACAATTGACGACTTGCAGCGCAGTCATGGCAGTAAGCGAACACGTTGTAGTGAATGGAGAAGAGACCCGCCTGAGAGTGGAGAGATGAACCTGACGCAGTGAGCAGCAGGGGAATAAGCGACCAGGGAGTAAGCAACTAGACAAGAAACAAGGCGAACTAGGCAGGAAACAGCGCCAAGATCCGCCCGAGTTCTATGCAGATTGGGCGGCGCAGTGAGCAATAATGCAGTAAGCGAAAGCGCGGTAAAAACACGCAAAAAGGCGAGGTGCGGCCCGCTCGGGCCGAGGGCGGTTGACATGTTGAAAAGGAAGTCTGTAGCCAATAGCGACAACGCAATCTTTTCAGGATCGTGACACAAGGGTTTACAACTGACAGCATGCTAAGTTCACCAGGCAGTAAGCGACGCCCCAGTTGGCAGGGGGAAAGCTCCTTTAAGTGGCGAACGTGAGATAAGAGGCAGGCTACCAGATCCATGGATGAAGACGCCAGAATTGGCCAATAGAGATGATACACTAAGTTAAACGCGTACCCTGATTTGGTGCGGGGCCGTGTAAGCCAATTGGCTACGTAACATCGTGATCTGACTTGAATTCAAGTCTCTGGGGGTTGAAACAAAGTATCGGTAACGAGCCCGGGCAAAAGGCCGCTGGCCGCGGCGAATTGTCAAAGGATCTGAAATCAGAAATGCTCATGAGTCACGTAGTGTTGATGAACATAGTTATTAAAACCACGCCATTCGTAATGTACATCTGATCATGTTCGCTTTTTGAAGTTGTCGGATCGCATCCCCTCAACACGACAGTTCAACTTCAACTTCAAAGATGGCACTTTCCACTGAAAGCAGGGCTCTTGGAGCGGCAAACCCTAAGTTAGGCGTCATTTTCTCAAAACTCGTCCACGATCTCAAATACCAAGCGCCTCAACATCCTAACACACGGCCTGCGCTTGAAGCTGCTATGCTCGAATATGCCGCTACTTCAGGAGCTCCGTATGAGTCTGAATATGCTCAGCGATACTTCGACGTCGGCCTTACCCTCGCTTGCGTAAGTCTTCTTGCCGCGATGACTCCAGCACTGTTTCGCTCCGGGTTCGACATTTACTCAGACTCCCACAACTAACTGCATGTGTTCAGGCCTACTATCCCACTCATCCCTTTGCCGTAAAACTACACATCGCCATCTACTCCTGGCTAGCCATCTACATCGACGACGATGACGCCGGGAACGACGATCTAGCCGGCTTCCAGGAGCGTTTCCACAAGGGAGAGGCTCAGCCGTCCGCTCTTCTGTCACGCTTCGCGGAGGTGCTACATGACATGTCGAAATACTACGAACCTCTAGTGGCGAACTTCATTGTGTGTTCGACGTTACAGTTCGTGAACGCCACCCTACTCGAGAGACGCGGCGAGTTCCACGGTCTGAAGCACTGCAAAGAGGCAAGCGGCTGGCCCGACTATGTCCGCGACAGGAGCGGAGTGCCTGAGGCGTACGCCTACTTCATCTTCCCGAAGGAACAGTGCCCGAACATTGGACAGTATATGCAAGGAATACCGGACATGATGACTTATATTAACTACGCGAATGATATTCTATCGTATGTATGATCATATCCTCAGACCTGCCACGTTTACTGACACATCATCATCGCCACAGATTCCACAAGGAAACCCTCGCTGGCGAGACGGACAACTACATCAACACCCGGGCCGTTTGCGAGCAGCGCGACCCTCTTGCCGTGCTCGAAACCGTCGTTGCGGAAGCAATCGAGGCAAACTCGCGTGTGGTTGGGCTTCTGCGGACCAGGTCGGACCCCATGTACGCCCTTAAGTGGGACGAGTTCTTCAACGGCTACATCTTCTTCCATCTCTCAGCGAAGCGGTACAAGCTGCATGTGTACCCTGGACTGGCACATGAGGGAGTCAAAAAGCTAGTGGATGAGGGAGTCAGCGGGCTGACGGAGGCAGTCAAAGGACTGGAAGAATTTGGAGGCCAGAGGACGGGTGACATGGAAAAACCTGCGGTCGGTGTGCTGCAGTGCGCTTAGGTTGTACGTTTTCTGTGCTAGGTTGTGAGGAGTTATGGGTGCTTTGATCGGAAGAACATTAGATTGTGCTGTAAATCAAATGCTACGTGTGCTCTTCAAAGATTGTTGCTAGTTGTAAAAAGAAAATGCAAGATGCTTGATCCCAGTCTGAGTGAAGATTTTCCAGGATCCGCGATTTTGTGCATCGGAAACATGGCTCTCGATGCACCCTATGAAAAACCTTGTTGTCTCTTTTCGGCAAAGCCCGCACATGTGGGCTAGAGTTGAGACTTTGACTATGGATCTCAGAGGTTTGGTAACACGCACAACAATAAACTTACCAATTATGTCTAGAATCTAATTTCACCCTCAAGACTGACATGATAAATGCAATCCATTCTCCGATGCCTAAGTCTTGTGTCTTCTGTTCATACATGCATTGAAAAGAAGAATTTGTTCCAAACGAGCTTCAGCATGTGAGCAGTATCCCGCCTTCAATTGGCCTCATCACTCAACTTCATAAAGTCTCATCAAAACTGGGTATTAAACGCCACGACAAGCCTTCTTCACTTTGCATTTTGGCATGAGTACATATATCATCGACTTCATCACATGGGCCCCGAAATGCCAACAGACGGATTGGTGGGGGAATGGCAAAGCACGGAGTTAAGATGCATCACCCCGGTAGCCGCCATGGATTCTGCAGGTGCATTTAGCGGCCTTAAGGCCCGGGGTTGAAGACAGGACCGGGGTCCATCCGCTGGGCCGCACCTGTAGCACTGGAGGCATGCTGATGAGGGGTCAACCTTGCAAGCTCAAGCTCAAGGATGGACTTTTGCGACTGATCGCCTGCACGACCGACTGTTTGGTGCATTCGTATCTTGCCAGGAACAGGCTTTTCTCGAATCGTCAACGAGCGGCTAAATGCACCTTGCTTACACCCTTGGGACATGTGGGGAAAGGGAGGAAGAACTATAAAGGAAAGCTGATTGTTCATCTTCCAGCTCATAGACCAACATACTGACGTCGCCTCACCGAGCTCATTCACCAGCAAAGCATCCGATCCTGAATCTTTCTCGCCTAGCCCCTCCGTTCATCATGGCGCCTCCAACATCTCTACCCACCAAGCCTCTCGGCAAGACAGGACGACAGATACCCGCCCTCGGCTTCGGAATGATGGGCCTGAGTACAGCCTACGGACCCGTCGGGTAAGATGTTCCCTGTGTGCTCTTACTTGGGACACAGTTCTGACCCTCTCCTAGCACCGACGAAGAGCGTCTGGTGATTCTCGACCGCGCCTGGGAGCTCGGTTGTACGAACTGGGACACAGCCAACGGCTACGGCGACAGCGAGGTTCTGATCGGAAAATGGTTGAAGTTGCACCCCGAGCGTCGCGCCGACGTCTTCATAGCTACCAAGTTCGGCATCAAGTTCACAGTCAACGATAAGGGCGAGTGGAACATGTCGGCAGACAACAGCGCTGAGTTCCTCAACGAATGCCTCGAGGGCAGTCTGCAGAAGATGGGTATCGATTCCATTGATCTCTTTTACGTCCACCGCCTCGACCCCAAGACGCCAGTCGAGAAGACGATGGAGCTACTTGCCAAGGCGAAGAAGTAAGTAGGGTCTCGGGTCTCCTGTCGTGGAAGAATACTTGCTACTCTGATACTGATACCTCTATCTCAGGGACGGCAAGATCAAAGCCATTGGCATCTCCGAATGCGCCTCCAGCAGCATCCGAAGGGCATACACCGTCGCGCCCGTCGACGCCATCCAGGTCGAGTACAACGCGTTCCAGCTGGACATCGAGAACGAGACAGGCACAGACCTGCTCGCCACCTGTCGCGAGCTTGGCATCTCCGTTTTTGCCTACGCGCCGCTGGGTCGTGGGTTCCTGACGGGCCAGATCAAGAGCACCGACGACTTCGCGCCCGATGACTTCCGCCGCATCGTGCCACGCTTCAGCCCAGAGAACTTTCATAAGAACCTGGTCCTGGTTGACCGCTTCAAGACCTTCGCCGATAAGAAGGGCTGCACGCCGGGCCAGCTCGCGCTCGCGTGGTTGTCAGCACAGGGCGACGACATTATCCCGATCCCCGGCACGAAGAAGCTGAAATATCTGGAGGAGAATGTCGGGTCGGTGAAGGTGCAGCTCTCCAAGGAAGAGATCAAGGAGATCAGGGCAGAAGTCGAGAAAGCCGAGGTCTTGGGTCACCGTAATCCGCCGGGTATGTTCACCGAGTATTCGGTGACTGCTGAGCTTTAAGGTGTCCTTAGGTGCGGTATCTATTCAAGCTGGTCTTGTAGACAGAGATTGAATCCTCTAGATTGAAGCCTGTTGAATCATACAAACTAGTTTAAGAACTCAAGGACCTGGTTGACGTAGGAGTGAATCTTTAAGAGCTGTGTCGTTTTCATTGCTCGCATTCAAACCCAACAAAACGACATGCTATTGGTCCTGCATTACTGCACGCGGTTGGTCCTCACAGATCGTGGGTGGTCTGCTTGCAGGCCATTTCGGAAACCCCCTGGTCAGCGAATCAAAGTGTCCTTCGTGTTATTGACAATTGGATGCGAATTGTTGCAAGGGGGTTGACCCCGCTCCGGCTTACTTTTTATCGTACCATTCTTCCCTCATCCATGATCTCTCAACTTTCATCTTCTCGGATTCAGTCATCACCCGTGATCGCACATACCAGAAAGACACATTCCAGACCCCCGCGGACCTGTCCTTCCCAGTCATCCTCCCCTTCACAATGCGTCTTCTCCATACGGAAGAGCTCAAATTGACCGATTTCATCGCGAAAACGCCGCCGTATGCCATCCTATCGCACACGTGGGCCGGCGAAGAGGTCTTGTTTGCGGATCTGCAAGGAGATCCAACTCCGAAGACTGGTTGGACCAAAGTCACAGGAGCATGCCGGGTAGCGAAAGATCTCGGCTACCAATGGATATGGATTGATACCTGCTGCATCGACAAGTCAAGTAGTGCAGAATTATCGGAGGCCATCAACTCCATGTTTCGGTGGTACAAGAATTCCGGCATTTGTATCGCCTACCTGGCCGATGCACATCTCTATCAAAGCGAACCCAGCATTAACGGTGCCCTGGAGCGAAGCCGGTGGTTTACCAGGGGTTGGACATTGCAAGAGCTTCTTGCCCCTACTAATATGATGTTCTATACGTCCGAATGGGATGAGATAGGCTCGCGGGAAGATCTTACAGAGCGTATCGCAAAAGTAACCGGGATTCACGCAAAATACACAATGTTCCCTCCCAGTCCGATTTCTCAAGCAAGCGTTGCCGAACGCATGTTCTGGGCTTGGCGCAGAGAAACAACACGTACTGAAGACATTGCTTACTGCCTGCTGGGCATATTCGACGTCAACATGCCGCTCATTTACGGAGAGGGCTGCAATGCCTTTAAAAGGCTACAGGAGTCTATCATGCAGAAAACGGATGACCAATCTATCTTTGCGTGGGGCGAGAAGAGAAAAATCTCCAACCTACTACTTACCAAAACCTGGCGTTCATTTCTCGCAGACCACCCCAAAGACTTTGAGAAATCAGCCAACATTGTTCCATTCGAGACACCATTCATCAAATCCAGGATCAGAGTCGATCACGATGGCGCTACAATTCAAAGTCCGATGTGGCAAGCATTCCACCCTCCCTACGAAGAGCAGGAGTCGGAAAACCGATGCTTATTATTAGCACCCCTGCTATGCCAGTATCAGGACGATCCGCTCAACTGCATCGCGCTGATGCTCACTTGCGATAGGAATCGCAAACCCGTGCAAAATTATAATTCGGCACCTACAAATTGCTACCGTCTGGGAAACAAAGTCTTTCTTGCGCCCAAACGAATATGGATACCGGAAAACCTCTTCCCAGCTTTCCTGTCCTACAAGTTGTCCCTCGGGTCCGAAATGTCCAATACACGAGAAATATGTATCATTCGGAAATTGCCGCCTTCATATCAAGCCAAACCTTCAACCGATTACGTCGGTGAATCAAATTGCGTGGAAACTAGTTCTACGGGGGCTGTTACGATTGATTTAGGGGCCCAGATTTTCTCTTCACTCTTTAGCGAGACATTTCATCTAGGGATGTTGCAATTGATCCATCTGCAACGCAAGTCACGCCGCGATATTACTTTGATATTGCAAGTTCTGTACCTCGGTTCCAGCAGACGTGATTCGGGAAACTTCCCTGAATCAAAGTACCTTATTTACGGCATAGTCAATGGTGGACTACATGGACCAGCTTACGGCATACAAGACGAGTCTGGAAGAATTGGTGAATCGCTATTCGAGACAAACACAAGACCCCACGGCGCAGGAATTGAATTGCCATTTGGTCGTGTTTGTCTTGGACTTCAACGGCTTGGAAGTGGATATTCGACGGATAATGTCTCCATTGATGACATACGAGTAACTGTGTCCCGGGACACTCATTTTGACCCCAACGTTTTCATCGTCGATATTGAGGAAGGTGGCAGCTTCGATTCGGCCGAGGCAAAGATTGATGGGTACTTTGAACCATTGCGTTGAACACCTGATGACTATAGTCTAGAGAAAGTTTTGCATATGAATCCATGCTTAAACCGTAATTAGAATAACGTATGAAAAAGAAAACATGATGTCCGGTATCGCCAAGTGTGCCAGTTAAGTGGCACAAAGCGTGCGTAAAAAGGATGTGACCGATGTCTTTAAGTTTTAAGCAAAATTAGATTGGTTTTATAAATGTTTGGAAGATCAATGTCTCCCCTCTAGCTGAATTTCAGTAATACATACCCGAACGTGACGGAAAATTCGTTCTCAACCTCAAGTTTTCATTGGATGACTCAAAAACATGAGTGATTACAAGTCCGTTATGCGGGCAGGGGTCTAGTGCCTGCTTAGCAAGGTAGATTCTCAAAAACCCCGCTCTCAGATCAAGCAAGATGACAATCTGCTAGCTAACTATCTCATCCAACTGCAATCGCTCGCCGGGTTCATATCGTCGCAAAGACTGATCATCGCCATGCGTCTTCTGGACACCCGCAGCTTCGAACTGGCAGAGTTCGTCGACAACGTCCCCAAGTACGCAATTTTGTCGCACACATGGGGCACCGAAGAAGTTCTCTTCAACGATCTCCAGGGAGGAGGCCGCCCCTCAACCGGTGCTGGATGGGCTAAGGTTAAAGGCGCGTGCGACCTAGCGCGCAGCCGTGGATTCGCCTGGATCTGGATCGACACTTGCTGTATCAACAAGAGTAGTAGCGCGGAGCTCTCGGAGGCGATCAACTCGATGTTCAAATGGTACCAGCTCGCCGAGGTCTGCTTTGTGCACCTTGCGGACGTTGGCTGGCACGCACATTCTGCAAGTTGCAGTGAGAAGGATGACGAGCGAATACGTGGCAGCCGATGGTTCACGCGCGGATGGACGTTGCAGGAACTGCTTGCCCCTAGACGCGTCGAATTCTATTCTGGGGGGAGATGGCGACTTATCGCCACTCGAGCGGAGCTGGGTGCGGTCATAACGAGCGCAACGACGATAGAGAGTGATTACTTGAATAACCGCCCTTTGCACACAGCGAGTGTGGCGCAGCGAATGAGTTGGGCTTCGAGAAGACAGACGACAAGAGTTGAGGATACGGCATATTCCCTTCTGGGCATCTTTGGGGTCAATGTGCCCCTGATATACGGAGAGGGCGATAGGGCGTTCCAGAGATTACAAGAGGCCGTCATCAGGCAAATCGACGACCCATCCATCTTCGTTTGGGGTTCCATATCCGACCTGGACGATCCGATGCGTAAATCCATGTCATCACGGAGTCTCCGGGAACCTCTTCTCGCACCTGGACCACATTCGTTCGAGAACACCGGCGACGTCATCCCCTTTCGGATGCTTGGTGTCGAAAGCAGGCTACATCTCGATCATAATGGCATAACGATCACAACGCCACTGTTGAAGCAGCGTCCGTCTAATGGTTGGACACGAGCAGGGACGGAATTCTTCCTGGCACCATTGCAATGCCGACGAAAGAGTGAGCCGCTTGATTGCATTGCGTTGTATCTCTGGGGCGAGAGTTCCGGCAAACTGGAGATGAACTATTCTAGAGCCTCGAAGCTGCTCGTGACCGTCCCGAAGACTGTGTGGCTGGACGGAGACTTGTCTCCTGCTTTCATCCGGTTTATGGCTGGACAGAATCGGTTTCACCTAGGGTCTGGGATCGACCGCGGGTGCATTGTGAGGAGCGTTCCGAAGGGATACCGGGTGGTGGAAGTTTACCCGAAGATTGACAACTTCAAGGTCAGGTCATCCATTGTGCCCTTTGAGGAACGAATCAAAGAGTCGTACGGCCTCAGCTATCCCGCCATTCTTCTTCTTGAGGGATCCTCGGCAGATCCGCGCTTGGCGTTGGTGCTCCAATTTCAATACCTTTCTCGTCAAGACGGCTCCGCGACCGAGCCATCTTTTGTGGGATCTCCAGAGTGGATGATCAACCGCGTCATTATTATGCCTAAGGATAAGAACATAAAAGAGATAGCAGGGACAGTGAGGTCAGACGCGAAGCGGTGGACGGCGGATGAAGTGCGAAAAATGACAAATTCAACGATGCGGCCTGGGAAAGATTCTTTATCCTCACACCCGCCGAGTCAACTTCACCTTTGTGACAAATTTGATGTCACAGTCTCACAGCACCAAGCATATGGATCAAGATTGTTTCTCGTTGATGTGAAGGATCCATCGGTCGAGGACGAGTCTGTGGAGGCAAGGGTTGAGAGCGAATTCCAGCTGACGAGGCGGTCGGAACAAAAACAGCGCTAGGAAAACTTCATTGAGGCACCAGACTTGAGTTACGTACCTATTCATGCACTCAGAATGGAAATGGGAGAGAAAAGCGATGGGATAACTTTACGATGGTATGTTTGCAGAGACATGGATTTGTTTCCAGTAACACAAACAAATCTGCAGAACAAAGCCATTCCTTGCATCTACGGACAACAATTGATATGCCTGTGGAACCAAAACCAGGATATCTCCAATCTGAAGCGATTGTCATATGTACTTGCCTGAAGTTTCTCCGAATCAAATGGTTCTGCATGCGGACGTGATAGTCGAAAAACCCCGTTCGAGCACGAGAGACGTCCATCCGATCGATGTTAAAAACCTCTTGTCAGTCTCGTTCTCAAGTAGTCCTCGATTCTCATCCTCCAATCACTTCCGTGCAACCAAACTGAAGCGTCAACATGCCCGTCACCATTCAAATTGCCGACCATGATGCCAGAACCTGGTCTCAGCCAAGAGCTACCACCCCTGATGACGTCCTCCGAAAGGCCTGCCCGAGAAATGGCGACTAAGCTTATGACTGGAGGCCTGAGCCTAAGCCTAGAGACCCAAGAAGGCGCCTCACAAAGAGAAACGTCATCCAATCCTCTTTCTCGTCTGAGTATCTTCGCAAAACACATATCACACCATCGCAAAACGGGTTCTTGTAGGCTGTCTACCATGCCTACAGTAACCATCACCATCTTCACATCCGACCAGAAGACATTTGGTTCGCAATCTTGACGCAACTGAGCTTCTACATCAATGCCAACTCTGAAAGTCTCAGCTCCCTCTTTGTCGAGCATGAGGGGCGCAAGAAGCTTGAAATCAGGCTCTTAACATCTACAATGGCGTCGACTGACTTCGGTGGCCTCGCACAACGCTTCTCCGAAATGATCTCCTCAAACGTCAAGGATGAAGAGTTGCATGATTGGATCATGCCGTCGTTCACGACCACGTCTGATAACGACCGCGTGGTTGCATCGATCCTGTTCATGGGAGCAATGCAAAACTACTTCTCCTACGAGGCACAGCTACTGTGCGGCCTGCCATCGGTGACCCTACAGGGAGACGTTGCGGACTATGAAGACATCCTGGCCCGCCTTCACAAGATCGAGGAATTTGGGGACGAGCCAAAGCAATTCGTGAAGTTGATGAGGCCTATCCTTGAGAACATGATAATGTCATTCGATACCCCCGACAGTCCGCAAGTCGAGGTGTTTTGGAATAAGATCGCCACATTCCACTCCAGAGGCAGTGGCGGCGATCATATATCTGGATGGCTTGGTGTCTTTTCCTTCTGGAGCGCATCGGGCCAGACTGTGATGGGCTCATCTGATGACTGGCAACCTAGTATTGTCGATGGCGTTCCGCGAATGAAGGTGTTGATGTCAGAATTTGCGGCTGGGTACGCTTCAGTTCCTGTCATCATCAGAGAACCCGAAACGACACACCATTGCACCATGTCAGCAGGATCAATCGGTATCCAGGCAGCTCGTGACAGTTCCGGTGGAAACTTCGACGACGGTCTGGAAGACTACTATGGCATGCGAGCCGGTCGAGGTGGAAATTCTTCATGCCGGTCATGTGGGTCCCAGAACGCGTGAGGAAGAACCGAGCCAATTCTCCGACTTGACAAAGATTCGATCCTTGACGGGATGGGTGATGTGGGAGGACATGTCCGACGGCGACGGCGTACCTGAGTCCGGTACAGTGGACAGGCCGGGCAGACAACGACGACGGTGACAATCGAGCTTGAACGAGTCAAACGACTATCAATGCGGTCTTGGTTCTGAGGACTAGAAAGTTTGAAATATTATCGGCGTTTATTTTTCCTACTGAACCTCAAATGCTCTATCACTGTTGACAACAAAGCGAATCAAAATTCAGGTACAACAGTTCCGGTTCCTGCTTCCTCTGCAATGGCCAGTAGCGCGTTGCCAATTGCAAGGTCCGTCGTGCTAACACCAATGTTCTTGTAAACCACGAGACCTTCCTCAATCCATGTCGACAGGTCTTTGTTGTCTCCCGCTTGCCGCGAAAGTTCAACCTCGCCCACCTCCACGAGGCTGTCAGGCTGTAGCTTGCTTTGGATGACTTCTCCGGCATGATGCAGAGCACCTTCACGGTCATCTGTAAGAACTGCACCCTTCGACTCCTTGCTTCGCGGGAAACCTTCGTCAACATTGCCGGCGGCGAAACGAAGCAACTCGGGATCAAGTTCAATCATGTTGGGCTGCCAGGATCCCACGGCTGAAATGAAGGGGTACCGATTTGTCTTTCGTCCCTTGGTGATGTAGTCGGCGGGAAACAGCGGGCTCGTTGTGCCAACTGTGCAGAAAATGGCGTCCACGACGGATAGATGTTCCTTGATGTTGAGTTCATAATCGGGGCTAGAGGGAGCGAGGTAGTCGATGGTTGTCGAAGACTTCCACAGCCTCTGGTTCTCGTCCTTGATTCTGCTGATCAACTGCTGTGCACGCGCCTCAGAACGGTTCACGACGACGATGGACTTGACTTCGTCGCCACGCAGAGCGAGAGCCAAGCGCAGATGCCAGAGTGCCTGTTTTCCAGCGCCGAAAACGACAATCTTGTCCGTGTACCGTCTCCAAATGTAGGGAATCAGAGCGGAAAGAGAAGTGCGGTAGCCGGTGAGTTCCTCGGCATTGATGATACCGGTCGGGTAGCCATCTTGATCACATAGAGTGACTATCCCGTGCAGCGCTCCGGCTGCTTTCGAGGATGGCGCTGGCGTAACCACGATCTTTGTACCGAAACTGTCCGACGAAGAGAAAGGCCGGAAGAGGCACTTTTGGCCTTCAGGTCTGTTGACTACGCCAACCTGAGGTTGATAGTCCTTTTCTGTACCCTTGGAAACGTTGACTAAGCATTTCAAAAGAGCATCTCGGAGACGCAAGATGCCATCTTTTTGCGAGTTGATCAAGATGTCGTGAACGACGGCGTCGCTGAGAATCCGAAGCCCACTCATGATATCGATGAAATTGCAATTGAAAAGTTTTGTTTCATTGGTCTTGAATGTGTCCTTGATGACGATTAACTCATTCGGCTTTAAAGATGTTCGCGGGGTAAGATGCCGATTTTCTCAATCTGATGTAAGCAGACTTGACTATCGGCGGAAACCTTCCTTTCTGAGCCATCAACCACGCGTCAGATAGATCCTCTAGATAACGGACTGACCTTTTCTAATCATTCCGGGCCGAAGCTCTGCCCAGACAATCCTTCGTGGAGACTTTAGAGCTTGCGGAACGCCCCGGATTGGTCCCCGACCGTGTTGGTTACCCCGCCCGGATGCCCTTCCGGTCGGATCGGTATCTAGGTTCCGGATGTCGGGCCCCACCAGCCGACTCTCCTCGGTAGTACGGATCTCCGTGTAAGTCGACATTAAAGTCCAAGAGGTGGCAATGAAATCAGTCGATTGATTGCTTCTTGCTCCTAAACATCGTATGACTCGAAAGTGATACTGACGACCGGCTCCTTTTTACATCATTGTTTCCAAAATGACCTTCGGCCGGACGTTCAACGTGGTTAGAGCGCACTGCGGCGGCGAAGTCTGCGATGTCGTCGTCGGGGGCGTTCTCGATGCGCCCGGCAAAACAATGTTCGAGAAGATGATGCATTTCTGGAAAAAGAGAGACAACCTTCGGAACCTTCTCCTCAACGAACCCCGTGGCTCATCGTCCATGTGCACCAACCTGGTTCTCCCGCCCTGCAACCCGGAAGCTGACGCCGGCTTTATCATTATGGAACATGAAGAGTATCCGCCCATGTACGGCGCAAATACCATCGCGACAAGCACCGTCCTCCTCGCAACGGGCATGGTGCCGATGCAAGAGCCTACTACTGCTCTGAAGCTGGATACAGCCGCGGGGTTGGTTACAGTCACAGCCGAATGCGAGGCCAGAAAGGCGAAGTACGTTGAGTTCCAAAACGTCCCGGCATTTGTGTATGCTTTGGATTTGGACATTACTGTCCCTGGATCTGATGAGCCTGTCAAGGTCGACATTGCGTATGGAGGGATGTGGTATGCGCTTGTGGACGCTGCCTCAGTCGGTCTTCAGATTGCATCAGAGAATGGACGCGAGCTAGTCGAAGTGGGCGAGCGCATCAAGAGAGCTATCCGGGCACAGACAGACCCGATACACCCGGAAAACCTTGAGATTAGGGGTGTCACAGTTTTCGAGTTTACCAACCCTCTTGTCAGCTCGGGAAACAATAAGGAGGCTGTCAACACGGTCGTGGTTTCGCCCGGTCGGTTGGATCGCAGCCCCTGTGGAACGGGTACGTGCGCGCGACTTGCCGTGCTACATAAACGGGGACAGCTCGCCGTGGGCGAGTCGTTTGTTCATCGCAGTGTGATTGGAACCGAGTTCATTGGGACAGTCAGGAGTGAAGCTAAAGTTGGGGAGTACAATGCTGTTGTGCCGGTGGTTAAGGGAAGTGCTTGGATTACTGCCTTCAAACAGGTTCTACTTCATCCTACGGACCCGTTTCTAGAGGGCTTCAGAGTTGGCGACAAGTGGCATATTAGCTAGAAAGGAAAATTAATACCATTCACCGGCGACACTGAACTATTTTGTCCCCGTCAAAAAGGTTGCTCGGGTTGGATGATGAACACTATAATTATGTGATGTCTGATGTAATCCTCCTCGATCTATCGCTATTACAACATTTCCAATCTCCATATGAATAGGGTACTATCACACTCTCTCAAATCTTCATTCTGGTCTGCGTGTCCACAGGCGTCGCGCGAACCATCAACGGCTTCTTAATCCACAGCGCAAACGCCTTCTGGTTAGTCCAGTCCTTGCTTTCCTCGCAGAGCTCGAGGTCATAGGAGAAAAGCAACGTAGCCAAGATGAGTCTCATCTCGTGCATGGCCATGTTCTGCCCCAAGCAGTCGCGCGGTCCAAAACCAAATGGCTTGTGAGCATCCAGAACATCTCCAGCATACGCCGGGTCCGTCTTGAGCCATCTCTCAGGCGCAAAGGTTTTGGCGTCTCTAAAGTTGGCCTCGGACTGATATGTGGACCAGTGGTGAACTGATATGCGAACTCCCTCAGATACCCATTTGCCCATGACCTGTTGACCGCCGGGCATGACTACTCGGGGGCTACCGATGGGGACTGGTGGATAGACACGCAGGGCCTCTTTCAGAACGGCGTTCAGGTATTTCAGGTCTGCAAGACGCTCGAATGTCAGGTCGTCAAGAGTGGAGAATTTGCCGCGGATCTCTTCGAGAAGAGTCTTCATCTTATCGGGGTTGGCGAGAAGAGTGTAAACGCACCCGCTCAGTAGGGTGGCTATCAGAATCAGTCTCGAGCCCCTGAACATTCCAAAGACGTTGAAAGCTTACCAGTAGTTTCGGATCCAGCAAGCATGAACAGCTCCGCATTCGAGTGCATCTCCTTGATAGTGAGCTCCTTGCCCTCCTTAGCGGCCAGAACCAAGTTCCAAACATCAGGCTGGGTGGAGCCGCTCTCCAGACGCTGGTTGACGCGCTCCTCTGAGTGTCTGCAATGAGTAACTCGCTGCTCGGTGACGGACTTCGGCTCGAACTTGGTGAAGATGGCATTCAGGATCGGGTAGTAGTTGATGATGGACACGATGGGCAGCATCTTCAGCGACTCGAAGATTGACTTGACCCAGGGACTGAACTCGTTCTTCGCGAGCAGACCGAGGGGCTGTCCGAAGCACAGCTCAGCCATGACGTCGAAGGTAGTGAAGTTGAGCAGCTGCATCATTTCCACGGGCTCCTTTCCATCTTTGCCAATTTCGGAGATCTTATACATGAAGAGGTCCACATATTTGCGGAAAAGAGGCTCTTGCTGCCTCAAAGCACGCTCCGAGAAGGCCGGCGAGAAGAGACGACGGACTCGCGCGTGGTTCTCCGTGTTAGTGGTGAGAATGCTAGGTACGCCTGAAAGATGTCAGCATTCGGTTCAAACACACGAGACATCGTCATCACAGCTGACGCGTGAGCGATGGACTCTTTACCATTGACGGGCTGCACAGAGAACTCTTGGGCCTTCTCTTGCACCTTGGGTCCATGAACATCATCCCAGGCCTGAGCAGCCGTGTAGCTCAGATCAGTAGGGCCGAAACGAACCACAGGTCCATACTGCTCATGCAAACTCTTCATCCACTCGATATCATCACCTCTGAGCGCGACAAGCCAGTACGGGATGCGGGTGATTGCACAGATCTTTGGACCCGGCACATCGGCCAGTGGGTGGAGCGTGATGGAGTAGATAGCACTACCGAGAAGGTAAATGCCCAGGAGGCCCACGCCCAGGAGAATAGTAGCCACCATCGCGGTAGAACGAAGGCGAGTCGCTTTGCGAAGGCTTCGCAAACACGCGATCGGGAGAAGATGTATTTAAAGAGTAAACAGATATTCGACTGAGGGGCATCGACGAACTTCGGTGAGAAATGGACAGAAATTGATGAAATATGACCAGCATCTGACTGGCCAGTTCGCAGGACCCCTGATGCATCCCGCCCCCCCACAAAGCGCCAACAGACATTCTGCAACGGGAGGATGGGGACGTGCCGTCTGGACTGATTCTGGGAGATATCAGTCGCCCTC